CTCTACTTTCGCGTGATTCCCAATTGTACAAACGCAACTCTATTCAGGGTCAGTTCACCCTTGAAAAAATCAAAACATTGGAACTACGTTCGTACAAACACTGACTCTACCGACCGCCTTGCGCGCGGCCACAACAATTCCTGAAAGAAAAGATTAGTAAGGTTGGGGATGGGTGGAAATAAATAAAACCACACAAACATTCTTCTTATTGAACATTCCTTAAGAAAATACTGTTATGTGTAAATGGAAATATCAACGAACACGAATATTATTGAAGTTGAATATTGATCCTAGATTATCTCGTAATAACGAAATGTATTAAATAATTGTTGATAATTATTCCAATGAATATTACAAGGATAAAAAATCATTGTTAAATACATATAATAAACTATTTTATTAAAGCAGTGGATTTTTGTTGTTAAGATTGTAAGCATATTTAATTTATAAATTATCTAATTCCTTTCAATAAGCAAAATCCAATAATTAATCATGCTTAAACAGCATGTGATTTAAAAACGTAATTCTATTTTAATTTAAGCTTGCATCGAAAACTGGATATTATAATATAATAACTACGATTTAACAAAAATAGATTATTTAAAATAATTAATAATTGCAGAGGAGAAGCAATCATTTGCCGTAGGATACGAATTATTTCAATTTTGTTCTAGTTTAAAACAAATGTATTAAAATACTGGACGAAATTATTTAATAAAATGAAAAATTAATTATTCTTTTTCTATGAATTGGTTAAAGAAAAAAAATGTCTCTAATTTTTTCTCTCTTGACTTTGGTAGCAAGTAATTATCAAAAATGCTTACTCAATTAACAACAACTCAATAAAAAACAAGTAATAATAAATGTTAATAATTGATTAGAATAAATTAAAACAATAAATTCTTACGAAATTCTATTTCAAACCCATATTAGGTGTCACGGCGTCCTTTCAATATCCATCAAATATCTGTAACAAATAAGAAATACCAATTTATGTCAATAAAATTTAATCAACAATAATAAAATTATTACTAATAAACGATCGAACTATAATTTACGCAAAATATTTTAATAGGTAGAATGCGCACCTACTACTTATGCGGAAGGATGCTCTCAACACGTCTTGTCACTTCGACGTTCGCGAGAGAAATGGCGAAACCTTCCTTCTTGCCGAAGACCGATCAGCACCGTTCGGTATTATTCGGTAATGTTCGTCCCCAGCCGAACCGAAGCCGGTAGACGAACAAATCGCATAATATTACGATGCTCAAGAAAGAACGTTATTAAGTATCAAACAGTAAATTGTGTGAAAGAATATTAAAAACGTTCAATATTGGTTAGGAAATTAACGATATAAAAGGGAAAGTAGTTCAGATTCTGCTGTTCCAACCTCATTATGAAATCGCGGCAAGAGCACAAATTTTCAACTCTTGTATTTTTGAAGAAAATGCCGAATTAATGTCAAAGATCAAGAATCTAGACTTCTCTTCGATGGTTTTTTCTGTTTTTTGTACTTTTAACACCCGATCGGCAATTTAATTTAATATTTGAAGATAATTTAATCTTACCTGTTGCAGACACGTGCCAAACAGACGAAGCTTCGAAGAGGACTGTTGCACTCCACCACACTCCGCGCAACGCACCCTTTAACGATGAATCTGATTGGTCCAAATAGAAGGACGCCATAATGGATGACCAATCACAGGCATTGGTAGAAACTTCGAATTGCTTTGAAACTTTAACATTAAAAGCATGGAAAGATTCGTTGAAAATTATCAACGCCATATTGAAATATGATCAAGATTACTTTTTTCACTTTAAAGCACCGAAATATAAGAAAAAAGATAGAAAAATATATAAGATATTAATGGTATTTAATAAATTATCACCATAAAAGCAGAATAAATGAGAAATATGTTATTTTAATTCGTATCTGTATCGACAAAATAGAGTACAAATTTTCAGCTTACGCATTTCTGAAGCCAATGTGGAAATGATGTCAGAAATCATGACTCCGGACTCCTCTTCAAATTTGTTTTCCGGTTTTTGTACTTTTGATACCTAATACACTATTTAATATAATATTTTAATACTATTTAAGACGACGCCAAGCGTCAAGACCGCTTCACACACACGAGCTGCGAATGATCGTGCGGTCGAGCTCAGAAAACGAATGAACTGCGCCCTACAGAAAAAATGAGGAACTAAATTTGTGGTCTATTTGATCTTTTTGACGTCTTTCGCGAATGAATAATGAACGAAACCGTAGTTCTCACTATTTTTCTAAACGAAAGCTTGTACATCATCTCCAAAGTGCTCGTTTTGTTCTATCCGACCCAAAGAATGTTGTTCTGGTGTCCATTTGGACATACGATTTCTTTGCAATCTGTTCAGTAGGGTCGACGTAATTTGAGAATACGTTTCTGGGGATTTTTCTGGGACTGATTGTCAAAATTATTTTCATTGAAAAATAGATTTTCGAAAACAAGTATGCTTCTTTTCTACCTGCGGTTGCATCAAAAAGCAAGTGCATAATGCTAAATAGGAATTATGGACTATAAATTTTGTCGAATGTTATGATGCGCTTTGTTGACAAGGGGAATCACCATTTAATTTATTAATTATTTTTAGATCTATTGTTGCTAAGTAATACTGATGTGTATCATTATTTTTTACGTATCTCTAATAGTTACAAACGTCAAAATCTGTGCACGATTAGTAGCAAAACGTATAATAATTTGAAAATGTTCTGATTTAAATATGTAACATTTTAACCTAATTTGAACATCTTGATGTAACAATTGTTAACCTGATTATCAACCACAGATTTTCTTTGTAATTTATATCGAATGTTTTTTTATCAGTATGCAGGTAAATAAGATTATCTTCTATGTTGTACAGCTTTTATGTCTTTTGCATAAAATAATAAAAATATAACAATTTTAGTGACTATCAAGTTATGAAATTGTGTTTTTACTTTTGCTAATTATATTTTATTATGAATGACATGGAACAATCAGAGAATTCATATAATGAGAAATGTGGTTCATATTATGCCTTATTGGTTGCATTTAAAACAATGAATGAGCGTTGTCAACAGCTAGAAACAAGATTAGCCATAGTTGAAGAGGAAAACATGTGTTTAAGACTAGAATGTGGCAAAGATGAATCTGCAGCTATCACTAAAACTGCTGATAACAGTGAAAAAACTATTGTACAAACCTTGAAGGTTTGTATAATATGAATTTTGATATATGAAATATTGTTACTTTACATTTTATTATATTATATTTTAATATAGTCTGATTGACAGGAAAAGGTTGAAGAACTTACAAAACAGAAATCTCAACTGACTCATCAGATTTGTATGGTAGCAGCAGAAAATCGTCAATTATGGAACAGATTAACAAAATTGACAAGGACTAATAAATCTTTGGGAAACCAATTAAATAAAATCTCTGATACACTAAAACAACATTCTCCAGCACAACCATCAGAAATAGTATCATATAATTTTCGTGATGTTTCTAGCTCTGCTAAACAAGAGGATAATCAACAAAGTGCATTAAGTACAAGCAATGGTTTGTATTTCAGTGTAACATGTTTAGTGGATATACCAAATTATGTAGGTATATATGTATATAAAAATGTATACATGTTCATTCAGGTGAGAAAGAACAAAGTTTAGAAGAAATATCGCTTAGACTTATAAATAGCATTATGTTAGAAAAGTCTGATCTTGAACAACAATATGCAGAGGTAAACAAAAAATAAATAAGTTGAATTGTATAAATTATAATTACTCATGTTTGTAATTATTTGTATAGATGGTTGAATTACAGAATAGTACTGAATTAAATTTGCAACAGATTGGTTTCACATATCCAGAGGATTCTGATACAGAATTAGAATTATTAAAGCAACATGAAATGAGGCTGTCACAAATGAAAAATACCTTATTAACACAACAAACTAAGCTGAAAAGGGCACTACAAAATTTGAAGAAAAAAAAAGATGGTATAAATATAATTATCTAACGTTTAGTAAAATCGTTCTGAGGAAATTGATATTAAATCTTATTTTATAGGACTAACGTGTAATAATTGTCGCACCAATGCGAATAAAAAAATGTGTCAAGCGGGTACACAATTCGACTTGAATGAAAGTATTAAAGAACATGGCGCGACGCAAACCAGCCTTCAAAATCCGAGCCTCTCTGTAGATAAAAGTTCCAATTCAACAGATAATCCAGAACAAGACAATAAAATATGTCCTTTATGCGGATTGTTTTATGCGAAAACTACATCGTTTGCAGAATTTCATGAACACGTCTTAAGTCACTTTTGTAACGAAGTATCGGTAGAAGGTTTCGAAATTGTTCACTAATGTTTGACACGCGGGTTATGGTAACTGATAGTACCTTTAATTTCTTAACGATTTTATATATTATTTTAAAAGTAGAAAATAAATGTAAATACTTCGTACATTTTCTGAAATACGTTAATCTTAACAGGATTAGAAATGTTTTTTGATTATTGAATTTTATGAACTGTTGATCGAGAAAAGTTTTAATAGAAACTATTGTGTATAAAAATGCAATACAATGATTTATTATAAAAATAATGATAAATGTGATTGTTGTCAATTAGAGTTGTTAATTTCAGATAGTCGGCTACTCGTAAGATACCTCTGAATAGATGAAATTCATAAAATCCATGAAAACTCATAAAAATTTATTCTTATGTTACATTCCTTTATTTTTACACAATACAATATTCAATTATTTGTTAATTATTGGAACAAAGTTTTCGTTTTTTATTCAGAAATATTTTATGGGTACCCGAGTATTAAATCAACAGCACTATTATCAATATAGTACTTATTTTTATGTTCATGAATTACAAAGATCCAAAACAGATTTGTAATACTACGACGTGTTAGGCAAATGTAAAAATATCATCTCAATAAATGGAAGGTCAATACTTTTTTTAAAACTTCTCTTCAATATTTTTTCATTTATTTGGTTTCCTTAAATCTATTTGATATAAACAAAGTATCTTATAAATATACTATAATAATATTTCAGTTGTTCTTTATGTTTTCCAAAAATTGATTTTCGGATTTTTCGTCTACCGTTTCTGATGATTCTTCTGACAACGGCTGTAATAGATTCTGGCTAAACCATTCAGGCCTCTTTTTAGGTAATTCAACAATTCTTTGTTTCTATATGAAAGTATGATCATACATTAATAAAAATATGTATACCTGAGGTCACGAGAGTCCATAACTAAGCGTGCAGGTTGGAAGATGGTGGGGGAAAGCGATCCGCCAATCGCTTTCCACTTCCGCTGGAAGTATCACCAATCAGAGCGACAATGCGCAGAAAAGAACGAAAACTGGTCTTTTCGCAGTTATGGACTCTCGTGACATCAAGTATATATTGAAATGAATTAACTTCAGTACCTGCCAAAATTCATCTGACAATTTTTCTTTTTCTCCTTCATATAGCACTATAACATCTTTTTCTACCGGTTCCAATCCTAATGCATCTTGTATAGCTTTTTGCATTTCCTTTGTTTCTTTTTTTACTATCTCATAGCAATATCCTTTGAAAGTTTGAACAGTTTAGATGTATATATATAAACATAATAATGTAATAAAATAGTTATCTTATTCTTATAGCATACCACACAGCAGACCAACGTCATGATGATGACCACATTTATTGCAAGTTAAAATAGTTTTAGGAACATGTGGCTTCCAAACTAATCCAGGAATACCATATCTTCTGCAAAGCCTCTTTTGTAAAGTCCGTCGTTTAGTTGGGACAGCCCATAGAAATGCATCATTCAAAATATCCTTTAATGATTGTCCAGGAAGGTTAGTAGGTTGTACTTGCTTTATAGCATGATTACATTCAAATGCATACAGGGTTCCTATATAATACGATATAAATGCAACATTAGATTATTTAATTATTTGCTTGACATTTAAAAATTCAAACATTTAAAAATGATTTTAATCCACAGTGAGTTTAAGAGGTTAATAACTACTTTATAAGCAGGTTTTTTAACCATGTGTTATTACACAATCGCACATGATCATAAAATGAAATATTGTTTTTTATTACCTGGCGGAAGGCCGCGGCCAAAAATAATATCAATTGCTTGATCAAACGTTTTAAATGCTTGAGATAACCTATTCCAAAGACTGCTCGCCATTTTTAAAAAGTACCATAGATTATTGTGACTAACATAGATTAAAATCGAGGTGAAATATTACAGTTAAAGGATAAAGGATAATCGTTTTTTTACAAATAATTTCATCGATAAAGATATATACCAAAATTATTTAAAAACATTTATTGTAATTGCTATGTAATATTTAACAACACAAAATAGATTTTGACTGATAAAATAGTATTTCAGATGTGTATTAAAAAGAGGTCGCTGATCAAATTATTAATATTCTTTCGAAAGTCTGTGAATACTTTTGAAATTCTTAGTGATCAAAGTTTTCTGTAATTTGTAAGTGCTGTGTTCGAATTAATGCCGCGTACTACCAGTATATTTACAAACGAGGAACGGAAAGGGAAATGTAGTGGGGAGTGGTTTTGTATATCGGAGGGGATTAAGGGAACTCGAAAGTCTACGAGTCGTGTGACTCGGCTCACTACAGTTTTCGCTATGGCGTGTATAGGGTCGAGTAGGCTCTGTGCTCGTGCAGAGAAATTGTGCCAGTTTGGACATTTCGCCCAATTACGGAGGAAAGTTTCAACAACATGTGTCAAGTCACGACCCAGAATCGAACATCCGACCAGTGCTTTGGTTCAACACTGTCAGGTATGTTAATTTTCCATTTTTCCATCGATACCGTGCGAATAAATGTTATCTACGAACAATATAGTTTTGGCGCTAAAATGACAAATTATGTCTACATCTGCTCGGCACGAGTATTTTACCATACGCATAGAAATTCCCTTAGTTTCATTCATTTTTAATCAAATATTGCAAGTAGTCCGTGTGTTATCACTGACATAACCTAGTTTTCGTTCAAGTGTGAAACTGTTTTTGCGGTACTATATTTAACAGTTTTTATAGCTTGACTTGTTAATTTTTGAAGATGTTCATATGGAAGGGTATAAAATAAGAGGAAAAATGAAGAAAATATATGAAAAGAATAATTTTGGTCGATTGTGTAGATTTCGTACATTACATAATGTCTGAGAAAAAGTGTCGGTAAATTGTGCTTCTTCAATGTGAAATTGAACCTGATGTATTAATAAGTAAGTAGGTATTTCTCAGAGGTTTATTTTCATTTTTACATTTTAAATCTAAGCATACTAAATGAAAAGTATTACGTGGATAATATTATTAGATAAATTCATAAAACCACGTTTTTATCCGGTGGAGCTGTCAGCTGTTTCTAGCAGACGACTAAGTTGGCGTCTGCTACTAACGTAGTTCATGTTATAAACTATAAAACAACATTATATTAGAAATGGCAGTAGTTCTTAACAAAAATGCTATAAAAAAATATCTTTTGAATTATAATTCAGTATTCTTGTCACAAAATTGAACAATATTTCTTTAACTTCTTTTTAAACCGTGTATTGACTGTACTAGCGATGGATGGTCGTTGAACGCATGCGCAGTGTCGAATTTGAATTTACTGTGCACAGTGAGTGTAGACTAATTATCAAGAATTCTTAATTCTATCAAATTATTCATTGAAAACAAATAACGAAAATACTAGCAATGGATCATTAAATATAAAACAAGTAGCTGAATGTTCATTTCACACTAATAATTTCTAATTCCCCTTCAATTTCTAAACGGTTTGATGATCTCTAACGAAAGTTTTCCATAAATCGTTCCACGGACGGTAAAATGAATTGCACGACTTTCTCTGCTCGAAAGTGACACAGAGACAAGATTTTGAAATCTCTTTCGATAGCCTGCAGATCGAAGAACCAAGTTCGGCACATAAGTCGATGGTTAATCGTCTATACTTTATTACGCAAGTGTTAGGTAAACGACGGCTCGTCGGCTGAACGTTACACTCATGGGAGATTCTTTTTCTCTATTTCGTAGTAGGCTCGTTCAATATTAATCGAAATGAGTGGGAACCGGTCGTGAGTAGCACGGTACGAATTTCAAGTCCCGCTCCTCGTAAGTAGGCTAACTGGCCCGTGAGATATCCTTCTTCGAGCATGGTTAACCCATGGAATCCACGCTCTTGACTTTCTCGGCTTGTACAGCTGTACTCTGCCCGTACAAACCTCTGCTTTTACTTACTGCTTCTTCAACCGACTGAAAGTTCTACGTCTTCCTAAAGAAACAGAATATTTCTTATAATCTCCCTGAAATCATACATTATCGCATTCGTTCTATCGGTTAGGATTCAATATATAGACGGTAGCGTTCAATTTACAGGCGAGGTGAATACAAATGTAAGGTCATTAACACTGGGTTCAATTCGCGGATCCTGTTTCACCCGCGTCACTCTCCATATCTTGCGTACAATAAGGGAGATTTCCTTCATTGACGCACGCTGATTTTGCTTTTGACATTCCGTTCTCGTGAACGTTGCACGTGTGTACGCACGCAGAGGAATGCATGAATTGTTTTACAATGCGATTGTTGATAAATTACTGCGCACTGCATTCGATGAGCTAGCCCATAAATTAACATGGAAAATCCCTGCCAGCCTTTTTCAATCGATCTGCCTAATTTCATTTTAAGGATCATCAGAGGATCATTAGTAGGAGGCGGTAGATGTTGGGTCTATAATAAGAAATTCAATGATGGCTATTGAAACGATAGAGATATGTAGCTCTGATAAAAATAAAGGAGGTGTTAAGACTCCCTGCTGTTTCACCTTTATCAAAACCATATCCAGCTACTAGTTTTTGACGTTTTATTACATATCCATCTGCAGAGATAATATACACTTGTTTTTCATGGTTACGTCTATTACATTTTACGGTCTTGAATACTTTCCCCGCTGGTAATTGTCTTCCTTTGCTCGGCACGAGGTGTCCCTGATGATATTCACAAATCCTCCTTCGACCATGGTACTTTTGCGTGAGATGACCTTTGATTGCTTTTATAGAAGCGCGAAGCTTTTCTGATGGATCGTTAACCTTTGTGCGCTGTGAATTTCATAATCAGATTTTGTTTCATGGTTCGATAATTTGTTTTTTTCAATGTACCAAGTAAGCTATTTGAAATCTAATCAAAATTAAACTCTCAAAGGAAAAACATATTTCAATCGACGGAACAAACACCTGTGTACTTAATTCGAACAGTTTCCACTCAGGAGTTCGAAAGGAACCGCGTTACAATTAGTCAATCGCCGGCGATTTAAGATAAAATTGTTGCGATGTGGGAGAACCGGTCCAGTGTATCCGATTTTCTTGGCCACTTTTCAAACCGACACTTGCGAAAAGTTGCATTACGTTGAAATTAGTGGCACACGAGGATATTGCGCAGAGTAAGCGGAGATTTTCCACGTACCGTAACTATAACACTCGTACGATTGCTCAATAAAGATTAATTATCATTCCACGAATCGGTCAGTTGGGAACGAAATTTTGTTTGAAATAGACTATAGGAGAAGGGGAATATTTTTTAAATAAAATACGCTCCTGGTTGGAACACTTAAGATAGAGGGAGATTCCCCTTCTTCAAGTACGATCACTGATTCTCTGTTTCCGTCGACACAAAAAAAGAGTCCGGTTAAACGAGTGGAAAGAACGGTCAGGAATCACTTGGAGACACGGTTGAGACCTACATTCTATAGATTTATATTCCTGCATGGCGATCGATCGGTCCGATCGCCTATCGCCGACTAAATGATCGACGTGCATCGCGTATGATGATGATTTCGTAAAAAACAGCGAAACGTTGCGAGAATACTGTCTCTATCTGTTAAAAGATCGCGTTTCATAGTTACATCGCGGTTGCACAGAAAAATTTCGAATTTTGTTACTATGGTTCTAAACACGAGGCGAAAGGAAATAGCGTTAGAGAAATATGATTCTGCGTACGGCTGGTCGGGAAAAATTTCATTCGCTCGCGTGTTACGGTTTGCGCGGATTAAGTAATAGATTAGAGAAGCTCTTGGGATTTCTCTATTTAAATTACAAAAGAATTAATTTAACACTTAAAGGACCGCATCTCAGCATTGAAAAACAAGAAATCTCGCGAACGATCGTTTAAATGTTAATAATTAGATTTCAATATTTTCAGCTTCGAGGAAATAACAGTGATATATAAAAAAAAATGAATATTTAATAATTCATCTCGATGGTGGATTACTTTTTCCCCAACACCATTTATGTAACTCGAGCCTCGTTGTAAAACGTTCACGGCAACGCGCATAACGGTGTAAAGTATAAAATGTAAGTCATCGAATTAGGTCCAGATCCGAGTGTTTTACACCGTTTAACGCACCTTTCGCTCGTTGTTTTTGCACGAGCAGAGAGAAGCGGAATAGGCGGTGTTGAGATCAACGTCCACCGCTCGTCTAGGTGAGCGAGTAACATCTGCGATGACTTGGACTTAGGTAACAGAGACGATTTTCTGTGATAGTGGGTCGTCAAAGTGCACGTTATCTGTGCTCCTTTCTGCGAAGGTAGTCGTGACTTTTTCCACCAGACTTCGTACAGGTGAAACGGTAATTCAGCTTGGAATCAGCAATCCCTAGAACAACTGTAAACTTTTGCTATAATATTTTTGAATGATTAGCCTTCAATTTGTGTTTATTCCTCTTAATTTTGTAATTTGAGTAACATTTCTGATCTGTTTGCTATTAACATACTTCGATCGCAATCTTGTTCTTTGCTTTTGAAAGTAAGCATTCGCTGGGAACAGAATTTACACACCATACTAGATATAAATTAGATTGAAATTTATTTTTAATAACAGTGGGTATTTATCAGAGCAAGAAAATATAAAACGAATACTATATATTTATTAAATAAATGTTTATTATATTCTTTAGTACATTTAATGTTGCTGGAAGAGATATCGTAAAGTCGATTAAACGAGAAACCTGTTTCCAAGCAAACACGTTCCACGAGTTACTTGAAGCAGACACCCAAAAACGAAAATTAAGACTCTGATTAATTAAAGTACTATGAATAAATTCTAAACTTGACCCTTCGATTTAGAAATATTGTGGTAGTCTTTCGTTAAGAGTATAATTTAACGATTAAAAGAAATTTTGTAACAGTAGTTGCACAACATCCTCTCGCTCAGAAAATTATTTTCTTGTTGCTGTTGTTATCGCTGCTGCAATTATTCTAGCTGTTTTTTCTGTTTTATTCGTTTCATCTTCGATGACTTAATCCGTTAAGCACCAAACTGTGAAATAATGTCATTTTATACCATAAAAAATTGTTAAGTGGTAGATTTAAAAAAAAAAAACATTGCAAATGAGTTAATAACGATTGGAATAAATTTCAAGCTGCTATTAATATCTTAACGATATGATTCCTCTTCGTCTGTAATCCATGGAAAGGAATTCTCTGGATAGTCCTTCGCTCAGCAGTCATCGCGTTTACAATAAATAGATTTGATTGAAGAATAGGAAGTATCCTTAATGAAAGATCGGCTGGCAATAAGAGGTAATTGCCGCGCGAGGACACGGGAGAAATGTTGAACAGACAGCGTGATTTCCTGCAGATCGTTATTATCGCTGTGTAATTTACAGTAACGTAAGCTTTGAGGTCGGCCTCTGACTAGAAGCATAATTGAAGAGAACGGCCGCGATGTGCAGAGGAACGTAACACGCCTGTTCTGATCCGTCCATGGGAAACCGGTATTAATGTTGTTCT